ATATATATATATATATATATATATATATATATAAAATTAGATATGTTTTCCAGTTATATTTATCTGATACAACTTGAGTAGCTGGGATATTTTCTAACTATCAGCATTATAAGAATTTTATCCTGGACAAAAACGCTCGACCCAAAATTCTTGATTTAAAAAAAGAAAAAAAAAACTTTCTGAACATTCTTCAAGAACTGGTTTAGTGATTTTTTTTCCTTTTCAGCATTTCTAAAGAGTTCCCTTACTTAGCAATTTATATGAAAATAAGCGCTTGTGTTAAGTAGCGCGAAAATGGTAGTAGTTGTGCAAATCCTTTTTATCCTCAGAAAACTCCGCGTTATTTGTAGTGCGGAAAAGATTCGAGGAACAGAGCATTCTCATCCAGATTGTACAAAACTAATAGGACTGAGTACCTCAAAACTAAGAATGGAAAAGTTTTAATATCGATTTCTTTAAATATGTATAACAAATTTCATTAAAATGAAAAACGTTGATTTCACAACTCAATTATCTTTGCACGATAATTGGTATGATTAAAAAAAAAATCCCAATTAAACTACCTATTAGTGATTTATCAAAGTATCACAGATATGACTACCACAATCCTCCTTAAATCCCTAAGGAAATGTCGCAGTAATTTTCAATCTCCCCGTCTCCTGAGCAACAACAGTTGGGCACACTATCTAATGTTCTATCGAAAAATTTTGCCAAGAGTCAACAAAAAAAAATTTCAAATCCGAAAATCCTTCAAAAACTTCGATGATGTTTGGAAATTCTGCAGTATTGATAGGTTTTTAGCATGGTTACACAAACATTTAAATTTGCGCAGAATTATGAACAACTGAAAATAATTTTAGAATTAGAAAGCTTACAAGATGGATATGGCACATCGTCGTCAACTTCAATAAGCTCACTAGGACATTCGATCTCCTCCAGCAACTGATAATGACTACGGCCTATCTGAATTTACAAACAAAGTTAAACAAATGAAAAAAAATCAATCATTACTTCGATTTTTTACTGAATTATGCATGAAAATATGATTTCTGAAAGAGATATGAATTATTCATTTCAAAAGGAAACAGCAACGATTGACATTCTAAAACTATTGAGAATACTAGCGTTAATTTTTCCTTTATCTCTCTTTTTTTTCATTGATATCTGTCATATTTTAAATTAAACATCAGGGAAAAACAACCAAATTTTAAGATTACAGAAGGTGGAATAAGCAGTTATAGAAAGAACTTATCAAGTTAGTATCGGAAAATCCTTAATAATAATAATGAGAAAATAGGAAATTTTATTTTCACTGAATTAAATCATTCTTTGAAATGTCAGCTATTAAGCATCAATTCACATAAGTGTTTTTTCAAGCAGATTTTCGATTCAGAAGCTAAATAAGTTAGTACTTAGATTAAGCTGGATGAAGAAAGCAATTCTATCCTAAAAGTGATAAGACGCTTTCTTTTTATTGTTATCATTCAGTCGATAAGACTTTTCCTTTGTTATCATACAGCATACAACAATCTGCTTAATAAAACAAAAAAAAGCAGTTCTTCGGTGATTTCAGTAAATAATTCACCGGTGCGGTAATTGTATAAGTTGCTTGTGAATTGACCATTGCATCACTGTTCCAGCTGCCACTCATTATCTATAATTTTAGGTTAGCTCTCATGAAGATAAATGTCAAGCGGTTAGTACACCAGAATCCGAAAGAAATTATAAATTCCATTGATTAATAAACGATATTTTAAAACTAATTTTCTTATATTTTATTGCAAATTTCCTCTGGTTCAGCTCGACTTAAGAAATAACGAATTAAGAAAATGAAAAATTCAAAAGTTTGATTTGGAAGTGATTGAGAATAATATGAACGAAATTGACAGCACTATTCCATAACTTGAATTCTGTGAAACTTTCTAGTTAGACAATTTCAGATATACTGCTGTTGACACTGTTGACATAAGCACTCAACTTTCCATAAACTATGAATGCGACATAATTAATTAATTCTCTAATATAACAGAAATGAATTTCGCAATGAACTAATAAATGAATCAGAAATAATAAATGAGAAATAACAAATCAATTGAACTCATAATTCTGTTAACAAAATTTTTTTGTCCTGCACCAGTAGTTGTGAATTCTTAGTTGTTCAATTTGAAAATTAATGCTAATGGCCAAACTTTTTTTTTAGTGGCCAATAACATTCCCGACCATTTCGATCCAGAAAAATCCAGAAAGGATCGACTCATCATGGGATGAAAAACATTTTGCATAGATCTGTTATTTCATTAGCATTTAAAAGTGGTGAATCGAAAAAGTTTTTAATGAAAAAAAAAATAAAAAAGAAACCAAAGCAATCAGAAAAATATATAAGATAAGGAATTATCAAACGGTCTTTGGAATGTATCTATCGGTAAGAAGGCAGGGAAGAGGAAATTTTCGAAACTAGTTGATTCGTTGCCGTTATCATTTCACATTACGAATCCAAACAATCGATCATGACATCACTTATCACAACCACAAAAGGGAATAATAAAACAGTTTGAGACATAGCATAGTTCATACAAGTGTCATGCTCGGAATTGATCAACCACTGATAAGAAATCAAACAAGAGCTGTTTATAACTTCCATTTGTACCAAATGGTTTTTGGTTTCTTACAAACGTCCAACAATAGCAAATATAATTTTCGAAATCAGGTTAATATATTTATTTACGAGTAGTGATACCTCCACGTATTTTGCAACTACCGGAATCATTAAGTATAAAATTATTTATGTCACATAATACTCAAACTACATCGAAAGGTTTTGCAAACATTTCCTTAAACATCCCTCAATTGCTCCTTTGTTTTCCTTAATATCACTGAAAATCCCTTTTTCTCCTATATCACCAGGTGCCATTCATAATTTATGGACCTCAACGTGAATCCCCGCATATATCTCAGAAGATTTTTTAAAATAATCGACCAGTCATGAGAAAAGTGCACTTCAAACTAATATTAGTTATTATTAGAAAGACAAATATGAAACCTGATTAATCAAATAATAATAATTGGTGGAATTGTTCAAAATAAGTAAAAGCACTCCAATACTTTGCATACTTTAAATATAACGACTGATCTATTAGCCATCAAAATTTCTCTTACTCTCTTATCCTGATCTATGCTATCACACTGTCTAATTTATGAAATTAACAATTAAATTAACCATGGAATGATCGAGGATAGATGAGGAGCCTAGTGAACTGATTGAAGCCATGCTGATATCCATGGATGGCACTGCTGATTGTGTTGTTCCGGTACCTGTTGACATTACCATATCAGTTCCAGCAATTGCAGGAATTGCTGATCGTACTAACTTCTGCAAGACGGAAATATAACTCGTTTCACAGAGCAGTGCAGAAGGATGAAATATACGACCGGATGCCGGATGGATAATTCATAAGAAACAAAATTTAAGGAATATCGCCAAAAAAAAATATCAATGTATTTTCTCCACTTATTTATATAAAACAATTAACTCATCAAAACCGGGAAAAAAAAGGGAAAGATTGGTCAATAATGAACCGTAACTTTTGGCAAATCAATACATCATTTGCTGTATCAAAAGAGAAGGACAAACATACATCATACAATGCTCCAAAACTCATTTAAAAAAAGAGTAATTTAATAGCAGTATTAATTTCAAATGTAATACTACCAGTCTGTGAAAGAGGGACTTATTCTGATCAAGTTTTCCTGATAATAATTTTGAGGGCGTTAAAACGAAATTATAAGATCTTCTAGGTAAGGGAAGAAATGAAAAAGACAGGATTAAGGCAGGTCAGAAGTGAAGAAAGATTTCGCAGACAAATAGAATAAGCATGAACAAGCTTGAAATGACAGTACTAATAGACCTTATGATGAAAGCGAAAATAGCACCAAGAAATTTTAACCGCCATTTAAAACAAATTTCAAATTGAATATCTTCCCTTCTCATTATCTAACAAACTTACACGAATGAAGCCTCCAAAAGCCACAATCATCTAAGGTCAAAAAACTTCAGTTAGTTAAATTATCTCACTTCTTTTCAAAAAAATAAATAAATAAATAATAAAATTGTGAAGTGTTATGGAGACTTATTTGAAAAATGATTCTGAAATGTGAGTTTCCTATTATACATAAAGTTTGGCAAACGAAAAGCACGAGATATTTAGCTGTGATTTTATCTTGAGAATATTACTCAATCAGGAGGAGGCCGGACAGAAAGTTCTGGCTCAGAAAGTCAGCCACCGAAAAAGAAAAAGTTCGAGAAAAAAGACGCAAGTCTTAAGGCAAATACTTTAATAAAAAACTGAATATGATTTTTGCGCGATGTAAATTCACATCCGAGTGATTGGATTTCGAATTCAAATTTATCTCTGGTTTTCAATTCAATAATAAATTTAACTTTAACACTCAAAATTGAGTGAGAAAGCTGGTGATCAAATACGGAAATTTAAGAAGAGTTCATTCTGTTCCGTTCAAAGACATCAAAAAGCAAATTTTCTAAGCTCTCCCATTTTCTTGAGTACAAATCCATCTATTTCAAACCAATACCTCATTATATTGAGCAGGCTTGATTATTAGAATTTGACAAAGCTAATAAGCAAATTGGAAAGAGAATGATTTTGGAAACGATCTGTTCTACAATACTAAAAATCTTTAATACTTGGAGCTACTTGAGGAACTAAAATATTTACCAGAATGAAGAAAATGAATGAAAAAACATTCAATATAATGTCTACTAACTACCAATAGGAATCAGATGACAAAAATAGCTAATGATGATAATAGTGACCAATAATTAGAACTTATAATTCTAATTATAATGAAGTTTTCATTTTTGAATGTTAAAAGTTCAATGAATAGATTACTGTTAAGTCATTTGTTGCGGATTATTGGATGGCGACAAGAACCAATTTCAAGAAGATGTAAATCCTTAAGAATCGTTAAAATTTCATTTAATCGTTATGAAATGAAAAAAAATTTGCTCAGATCGGAGAAGCGAAAAAATCTCTCTGACGGTGGTATTAAATATAGTGAAAAAAAAGCGCAATATTTACGACAAGGTTAAAGTATCGATGAAGAAAAAACGAAAAACTTTTTTTTTCTCGAAAAAGAGCGAACTTCGATACTTACAACTGATGAATGAGTTTTAGGGAACACTGAGATCCATTAACTTCCAGCAAACATCTTCGATTAGCTTTTGTTTTTCTCAAAATCAAAACGTTTTGTTGTACTTTTGAAATATTTTGATAACAAATGACTTAATGAGTATGAGGGAAAATTTGCTGCCGAAAGGTTTATGATTTAATTTCTGAGCAGATTTCACTTTCACATACTTTACGATCTCTTATGATGGGAATGATCATTAAGGTGAACAGGAAGGAAAAAGGTATAATAGCTATACTTCTGACCTCCAGTGATATTTGAATTTCCCTCTTTTCCATTTATATATTGAATGATGGTCAAAAAAATCATTAAGTAAAGCTCTTGCAATTTTTTAGTTAAGAAATTTATTTAACTTCAACACAAACAAGAAAACTAACTTCTTCTCGCCTTGATGAAACTGGCACTTGTTGTAACAATTCCACTTTGTAGGAAGGCGCAAATATGCCATGTTGTGGAGCACAGTGGAAATATGCGATACCTAAAAGAACTTCCTTTTGGGATTGGTTTTTTTTTCCTGTAACTTCATGAAAACATCAAGAAAGCAGGAAAAAGTATCACGTTATTAACACTTAACTCTACGAAAATAAATGTTAGTTTGGTTCGATTTCAATATAAATATCTAATTAGCAGTTATTTGGTTCAATTAAGGCATAAATATCTCATAAGCGAAAATCCTGGTCCAATTTAAATATAACAACCCAATAAGCCGACAATAGTTACAATCGGCATAAACTACCATCAACAAGTCAGTAACACTATTCACATTAAACTGAGCTATTCATCTGTAGGAAAAAAATAAAACTTTTAAAGGGACATTTTAGATTTCATTCTTACTTCAGCACCGTTATCCATTTTTTTCTTTCTTTTTATATCCTTCAACAACATACTCGAAAACATTGTAAATAGAACTTTTCCCCATTAATCTCGAGAAGTCATTTATTAGGAAACCGTTAATTAAATTACTTCTCGAACTAAATGGAAATTGAGAAGGGGATTTATTGTTTGAACTAAAATTTGATTCGGAGTAATAATTTTCACTTCCATTAAGGACTCATTTCCTGAATTCAAGAATTCTAAAGGGATCATCTGCCTACTGCCTGAGTTACAAAACTGTTTTGAAATCGGACAACCATTTGATCTAAATCGAAAAAACTTCGCTGCAAAACTTCTAAAGATCCCAAACCTAGCCGAGTATATGTGCACTATTCGAATTTGATCCGCCAGAATATTATTTAATCTCACAACGAACCAGGAACTTTTTCTCAGAAGTTTAGTGCTAAAAATAACTGCAAACCTTGATAGGTACCATCATGTTTCCCTTCGGGACGATCCAGTTCTACACCACAGAATATACCTGTCTTACCTTCCACTGGACCAACATACATCAGTGTACCGGCACCTACTCGTCCTACAATCACCTTTTTCCCCACATCTTTCTTACTGATCAGTTCACCTTCATTGGAGGCCTAAAACACGCAAATTCACAAAGTAACGCACTGAGCAGCAATTTTCCAAGTAGCAAATCTCCTTTGCAAGTAACTATCCTTCCGGTCTCTAACGTTCAGGAATTTCGATTTGTTCACACAGTCGTCAACTATTTACGGCTTTTCCTAAAAAAAAAAAAGACTGGAGTTTTTATTATTGATAATTATATCAATAATATGTGAGGATAAGAAATCTCGGGAATTCAGTCACTTTCATCAAAGACAAAATGGATCGAACAGTTCCTCCGGAAATACATGAAGTGAATGTCATTTTTTTTGCCTCTTTCGTAGACCAATGGAACCCGGAAGTAAGGATGTTTTTACCCTAAAGTTAACAGTTTTCTGATTTACTGAGAAGACAAGGAAATGGAAGGAAACGGAAAACGAGATACATGTGACGATCATGTGAGTATATGTAACAAAAACATCCTGAAAGGTCGCGATATTTCCTCCAGCAAACTTGTTGACATTAACTTTTTTAAATACAACAATGATGAAGAGATCAACGAATGCGTGCATCAACTGTATATTCTTTTTTTCCAAGATTCTGAAATTCTAATCTAGATCTTGATATGCCCCATATAGAATCTTAAGGTTATCTGTTCCATTCATCACTGTCACTAATACAATAAATGGCAGTGATTCAAAAGAACTGACAAGTTAGCAAGTTTGCTCGTGACAGGACAGTATTGAAAACTTGAAGCAGGCAGGTAAGTGTCACACTACCAGTTTTAGTCCACGGCAGTATATGCCGGAAAATAGTTAAATCACAAAGGTTTTTCCAATCTCTGTCTCCTATAAAAAAGGCTCCTGAAAGATAATGAACTGAGGTGGAGGGATTTTGTTAGCCCAAAGTCTTTACTACATGAGTGGTAAAATTCTCGACAGAAATTAGCCAGAGAATATCATTCTGAAGTTCTCCAGTTTCTTCGCGTAGTACTAAAACTGAAGTAAAATAAATATGCTACCAGAAGTTCATTACCAAAGTCACCTCGTATAGGTAGTACGAGTGCACAATGCGTCATTACTTACAAAGAAATAATACCATGTAGTTTATGCAATATTATGATACTATGATTGGGATAGGATGGGTACCTAACCTGCGAGAGTTGCTATCAATAACGGAATGAGTTACTTTTAAAACCGATAAGATTAGTGAAGATATCAGCATTACCTTATCACTCGTCGATTTATACATTGTAAGTTATCAATTCTTGGCCACTATACGACACTGAAAATGCATAAATTTACATCTAAAATTGAAAATTCCTTCAAAAACGCAACATTTCAGCAAAATCGAGAAAAACAAAGGTCTTGTAGGCTTAGCATCAATGTGTAAGCAGCTCTTATCAGATAAGAAATGAATAATTAAATTTTATTACATAAACAAACAAAGGAGATGAATAGGTAAATATGTAAGTAAATAAATAAGCAAGGAAAGAAGGAAGGAGGAAGGGAAACGAACTGGGATAAATGAATAAATAAGTAAATAGGGATAAGGCAATCAAATAATTAAAAAATTAGATTTAAATTATTTGAAATCAATAATTGGGAAAGGTTAAAGGTAGAAAAAGTGGATAATTCGTGGTTGCTGTATAAAAGCATAAAAGTGGCGCGGTTGGGTTAAGCGGAAAATGGAAATCGATTTCCGCAGCAGTAAAATATATGACTGCGATGTCGTATGTTTGTTTGTTACTGGCTGCCACAGAGGCATCTCAGGGCGTTTTGATTGCTAAACTTGATTGAAATTAAAATTGAAATAAGGGATGAAAGAGTATATATTTGAAAAATTTATTACATTTAGTTACACAGTGCAGAAGTAAGCAACTGGGCAAAAAATAAGCAATTCTACCAGGTTGAATTGAATTTTCAGAGCATTGAATCAGTGCAGACAAAGCTTCACTTCAAACTGATGGGACAACTTGATAATTTAATTTATTTTAGGAAATGAAAAAATTAATTATACAACTGATTTTCAGATTAATTTCTACTATGCAGTAAAAGAATCGAAGCAAGAAATCAAAAGCAGAAGTTACTTAAAGGGTTAAGAACGTGCTGCTAGAAGTGTACAGAAATACCTGGCTATGTTTAAAAGATTCATTTACGATTCTGATAAAGAGAGCAAAAAGACCGTTCACCGGAATACTATCACCACCATCTTCGATCGATCCAGTTACTGAATTAGCAAGATCAGGCTGTCTCCTTCCATTCAATTACTGGTATTAGTAGGAGCAGGCTTTTCTCTTCGATCCAATTACTGGTATTAGTGGAATCAGGCTATCCCTCTTCAATCTAATCACTAAATTAACTTCGATCAATTGCTAGATCAAGAAAATAGCTAGCAAAAGAGGAATGTTTTGAGATATTGGCCATTGCGGCACAATACTCAGCAATGACGCATACATTTGAAAATGAAACATTTTTTTGGGGGCGGAGGCGGGGGGAGGGGAGGGGAAGCAATGCACTTTTTAGAGGAAGAAAGTCATTTCAGATTTTGATTACTTGAATATATCTCTAATTGTCGACTCATATTTCTTGAGGTCAAAGGGAATAGGGTCAAGTTGAAAGGTTAGAATGTCGAATTAAATTGTATAGAATTAGCTGGTACACGTAAAAAGTGAAGTGCTGGGCTTGGAAAAGTCATTTTTTGAATTAATGAATGCTCAAGGATGTCGATATTGTAAAAGTTTGTTGGTAAGTTATCTAGGACATTATAACGGCCTAATTCTACTGGTCCCATTGTAACTAAGCTTAATTTTATTAGTTTCATTTTATAAACCTTATAAATATATCAGTTATGATTAAAATTTGGAAGGTTGGATGAGAGTAAAGGCATTAAGTCTAACTAATAATCCAAGACACTATTAAAGCTTTGGTGGAAGCCAGACAGATCGATTATTACCAGCTGAATAAAGAATGATGCATAGAATATTGCAATGGGAAAGGACAGACGAAAAAACAAATTGGGACAAGAATGGAACGACAGGCATATATGGTCCAAATATCTTTTTTTAGGATTAATCTTTCATTAAAGTCATTTCAATATAATAATGTGGGGAGTGCGTAGGCGGTCCTACTCTTAACAGGTGATCAATGATCACTCGAGCGAACACTAAAAGAATAATCAGTTCGTCTACTTTAAGCACTTTCCTTTAGCAGGTGATGAATGACGCATCGTTCCAGTGGTGTTTTAACACTTCTCGACATTTGCACTCCAATAAGAATATGGGAACATCAAAGGGCATACATCAAATGTCCTCCTAGAGATTTCACGCATTCATAATCCAATCGAAACTTTACTAATCCGATCGATGGATTGGCCTTCATGCTTGTCATGCGGAATGACAAAATGATTGGCTTTCAGAAAAAGGAAGGATAACAATAGTCGAAAGAAAATCTGAAAGGAACTCTGTCGAGTTTCCAACTATTCTCTCGACATTGTGCTCATTCTCTCCTCAGTTGAAAAAAAAAATTTTTTTCTTTTTTCAGGAACAAATGTCGTTAGCTTTTCCTGTCCGGATCATTTCTATCGAAAGTAGTATGATTCAGTAACTGGACATCATCATTCGTCTCATTTCAATATGTTTCCGATAAAATATTATAAATCTGGAATTTAAGCACCACAAGTTCGAATTTTGTTCATTTTCACATTTTACAATTATATCATTTGTAAGTGGCGGCAAATGAACAACTTGAAAGCAATCCGTCCTGTCAACTTTGCAATGCTTGCCGGAAATCAAATAAGTAAAGAAAGATAAGCTCTCTTATTGGTACAATGAAATTGTTTCTATTTCTATTGGAAAAGCATCAGAAGATTTCTCAAGGGAATGCGCAGTTTGCACAGTTAATGGAGAAATTAACCATTGGCGTCCGCACATCCACAATTTCAAGAGATTTTAGCGCATCAATATATTGATACCGCCGGTTCGTGTGATATCTGCAGTAATTTCTGTCTCCATTCACATTAGTATGCAGTTTGGGGGGCGGGGGGGGGATAATTCTAGAGATATACCTGAGATATTAAAATCTTTTTCAGGAATTTTTGAGATGCCACATTTCATAGAAAATAACAAAAACTCAAAAATGTTTAAAAATTTTCAGAACTTTGATGATTTGGGATATTGAAATTTATTTACTTTCTACGATACTCAGCTGTCATTTATTTGAAGTAATTTTTTTTGTTTCATGAGGAAATCCAAAAATTAAGGCTTGAAAAATCACAAAATGTTTGGCGCTGTTGTAGAATTTCATAAATTTTAGCGCAATTCCACGCACAGTAAGTAGTGAAAAACTTATTCGATAAATAGACATATCAATAAGATGACGAATAAGACAAAATTTAACTTGAATTCTTTTGAAATGAATCCAATCCTATGAGGTTGAATTAGAAAGGTATTGGAATAAAATTTCATTGTATTCAAAAAACATTCTGAAAACGAAACAATAACCAGCCTAAATGCAAAAGGAGCCGGGATCCAACCAAAGAGAGGAGCCATAATCAAAGTATTATCAAAGCGAGAGTAAAAGTACTGTGCTTCATTTTTAGGTATAGTTTAAATTCAAGAGTTAGCACTAACTCTGAAGTACTTCCCTTCAATGATATAAAAGAAGGAAGAACGATGGAAATCTTTTCTTGGGAGAGGAATTTGGAATAGAAAAATTCTCTTCACTTGTTTTTTCTTTCACGGGCAAACCCCGAAATGACGACGTCCCCAGCTTCTATTTCATTGATTTCTCTCATATGACCAGCATTAATTTATCGATCTATTGTGCAACAGCTTTTAAGGCTCACTTTAAAGACCCATTATATCAATAGGCAGGCTTGCATGGCCTAACACATTTGTTCGCATATTATCGCAACCTTCTAATATATGAGTCCATAATTTCTGCATACTGAAAAAAATGGTAGTTACGAACTTTCTTCCGGAATGACTGAACTGATGAATGGACGGTATTTAGAACATTCATTAAGGAATTCATCTTAAAGCTTTGATGGCTTTGATGTGTTACCTACAAAAGATAGAGTGATGTGTAGCAGTTACTTTGCTATTGAGAGATATAATAGTATTGAGCATTGAGCAAAGTCCTCAGGCTCCTCTTTAGGCTCCAAAAATTTTGAGTATATCATGACGGTATACCGTATCGATCAATATTGACTTGACTCTTTCGGTTGGAACAGGTATTTATATATCTTTTCCTGAAACTTTTACCAGAAGCTTTGTCTCGAATAGCATAAAAAAAGGAAAAGATATGAAATCCGTGAATAATGTTACTCATGATAGAAGGAGTTTATACCAATCATCTTTTAAAAAATGTAGCTCAGTCGATAGACGGGTTGAGTTCAAACCTTTCAGTGGTGTGAAATTGAGAGATATTTTTAGATCATGAAGATTAGAAGTTCGCTTCTTTATTTCTGTCTCAGTACACAACATTCAAATTTTCATTTCATTACCATTCACGGAAGATTTACAAACAAGTCAACTACGTACTGAATAGAGTTTCGTAGTTTGAGATATCTAGCCTTAGACCTCAGTTTCAGATCCCATTGGACTGCACTGCCTAGTTTAGTGCATCTATCCGGGAGAAATTCTTTTGCTATATATACAACTCATCAATGTATTCACCAAACATCATGTGGTTTTGTATTGCTGAATATCAGTGAAGAAGTCTAAGGAAGCATTGAGGTATTCCCGATCTCGGATCGATAAAATATCTTCACTACAGTTCCGCCAGTTCATTGTCCCAAATGTTGCTACTGTTTCAGGCACTTGTGACCTGAAAAGAAAGTATGAAATGGGAAGAACTGAAAAATATCGAGCACAGAGCGAAGTAATAAAAAATGAAAGCCGATATTTTCATTTGCGATATAAATTTTGTAACGGTGAAATAGGTATAAAGTTTTAATTAGCGAGCGGGAAATTACATTACTTATTCTAAAATATATCAACAAAATATCAAAAATGCAGGAGATCTACAAAATCTGAAATCGCCTTTGTGCTACACATCTGGGAAAAAATGAAACTCTACAAAAAAGTGTCAGAAACATGATACCCAAGAAAAACAGCCCAGATATCATGCTCCAACCATGCATTGTCCGTATCACGTACATCCAGTACTAGCACACGTTTCACGTGTGCTACACCATTGCTTGTTTCACCAACATTTAACAAGTTCTGATTGGAGAAGACCTACAATATATTCCAACTAATATAATGCTTTTATACCGTTGTCAAATTTCACTACGACACTTTTAAAATAAAAAATCGTATTATCTGTATTCAAAAGTAAACTGAAAATCAGATAAATAATTCCAGAAAAAAGTAGGTTCCACTGATTATTATCATACTATAGTGCAATTATAGTTTCAGTCAATTCTGAAAGTTCTAAGGAATTGTGAAATCGGATTGAATGAGTAAGTGCGTAAAGGAAGAACAAAATTGGAAACTCTTTTGTAAAAGCTCAGCAAACTTACGCACATTTTGAATAGCCGCTTACAGATCATATCTTACATATAGTTTAACTTACATATTACGTGTGGCAGGCTGGTCATGGCATAGTGTCAGATTTTAGAACTCTGATTTTAACACTATGATCTACGTTTTCAATAAGAAACCTTTATTTATCCATTTTTGTTATCCGAAAAAAAGTTTCATGAAATGCAAGTGACGAATACTTTCTTACAACATGGCGTATTCGACAAAATCCAAAAGTCAGCTAACTGCTCATTTTAAGGTGCCAAATAAGGCTTGGATGCGGTTTTGAAATAGTGCATTTTTAACCTGGATTTATTCTAATTAATGCACCGATTAATTTGCAAAAAAACAATGTAGAACCTAACACTCGGTACCTATTCGATCAAAAATATAAAAGTCAGATTGAAGTTCGAAGATTTTACCAAATTTAAAGCTGGCCCCACTTTGTATAAGTTCTGGAAAAACAAAAGCAGCCAGAATAGGTGCAAATTAGTCGTCCTGATGAAACGGCAGAGCTTTTCAAAATTTCATGCAAGTTGTCAAAGAATGTCAGATGTCCCATTTGTATGAGCTAAAGTTTCTACCGAACAACTATGAAAACATAAAAATGAGTATTTCATATTATTCTTTTTTTTCTTTAAATTTAAAAACAAACATTTGCGCATTTTCAACTATAACTTAGGAATAATTCTTTGCCGTTTTTCAAGATACTGGGTAGTTTTTTTCTCAGAACTTACTATATTTTCTGTGCTCTATCGCATGCAATTAATTAACATATGATATTGAAGAAATTGCGTAGAAATAAATCTTCGAAACCCTGCATAATTTGAAATTCGTGTTTTTCTCAATAGAAAAAATTTTTTTTACTAACGTGAATATCTGAACCATTCAACGAATTGTTTCGCAAAATTAACTGAAGTTCTTCATCACAATGCCCGTTGTTTAGTCGCCAACGAGTAGGAAATGTACTTCCTTCTAGTAAAATCTAAAATTTGCTAAATAGAATTAAAGAATTTAAGATTGAACAATAATGCAGGTAGATTGATGTGCGCAAAGCGAATGAAATCTTTTGTTTGTTGGGTAACGTAAACAAGAACATGAAAGACTTGAAATTAAATACCATCAAGTGGTTATTACTGGTTCTTCGCATTAAGACGTAAACATTTAGCAAGTTGGCGCCAAATTTCATATGATTTCCACGTCCAGCAATACCTTGCCGGCCATTCGGATTCATGGGTAAACCGGATGCATCAACTGTGAACGGTGGTGAAAACAAGAACAACTCCAGCATTTTATTTTGTTGCCATCGCTTCCAGTATTTCCGCAGCAAAGTCAAGAACTGAAATTTAAACTCTGATCTCAGTGAACTTCGCAAGGAGTTATTTCACATAAAAGAGAAACGAGTCTAAGAAATGTTTGGTAGATTAGTCGATCTTAATTTCACTTTATATACATATGTACGTAATTAATCATTCAATTCATTACTTACCTCTGGTGTTGAAACATCGACGTGCTTCTGCATATCACTTGGAAAGTCATCAATAGGTTTACAATAAAATGGTGGGCAATAATTAGATATCAAAATATGATGAGGTCGGTATTTTTCCGTCACCGCTAATTTCCGGATATTTGTTATCCGATCATATGGTATACTTTCCGATAGATTGTTCCAGGTGTCATTTGTGTCTGCAAATTTTTTTTTTGATTTTTTTGACAGTACAGAAGTGTCAGTTAACGTTCATAGAAGTTAGATTAAAAATGGATTAAAATACAAGACTGCATTATGCCTTTATTATGAAGAAACAGATCCTTGACAATTATCATACTTTTATAAGCTGTTGAAAAATACTGTGATACGGTTAGCAATCGAATTTGTTCCTGCAACTGACGATTTTCATTGTCACATTTAAGACTGATATCCGAGTCTGCTGATGTGATCATAGCTTCACTCCACAGGTTTATGGATTTCGCCTAAACATAGAAATTCCAAATTTTCTATAATTTGCACAAACGATGAAAAAATACCGATGTAAACGGAGCGGTAAAATGCAAAATTCCTTTGGTATAAAGAATTTTGGAAAAGCCGCTAATATGCGCAAAAGAATAACAAAATAAGACTTTGGAGTGATGGAGACGGAGAGGACAACTTTCAAAACTTACTCTAAACTCAGAATCCAAAGATGTACATTCAGCTGATAACATATTCCTCTTTGTATTATTAGTAAATCGATTTGCTGTATTATATAATTTTGAAGTCTGTTGATTGTGAACAACATCCGGATGGTCCAAATTGACCATATTTGGACTGTGACACGAATTCAGGAAACAACCGTATGCTCGACAGCAAGAGGCACCGAGAAAGAAAATTGGTGTGAGTGGTGGTGGTAATGGAGGACGAAACCTGAATTGCACGGAATATGTATGATACATGCAATGGAATTTAGTTGAAATCAAATGATAGAAAAATGAAAATAACATTTCCATTTATTTTATGGATCGGAATTGGAAATTAGATAATAAAATGCCACAATGGTATGGATTAAGCGACATTGTGACGGAAAGCATAGACAAAACGTACCACTAATTTGCACCGTTTTTTTTTCAAGAAATGCCCTGAAGATATCAAACGCAAAGTCTTTAGGCTTCAAAAGTTTTGAGTGTGGCATGATGGTATATCGTATTGATCAATATTGATATTATCGAGCACTGTGTTAAAAATAATAAAAGTGTGACAGGATGATTTCAACTAATTTACCTCAAATCTTCAACCAGTGAATAAAGTTGATATTTCCAGATTTTGTCGGCTTCATTGTCTACTTCTTTGGCTGTTTTGGAAAATAACGCAAAAAGGATTGGCCAGCAAATTAGCTTCAAGACAATAAAGTACTCTAGTACCGCTAGATGTCCGACCCAGTTTTGAGTTGGACAACTGTAATCACCAAAACCACCGATTGCTATACAGCTGTCGCGATTATGATAATCACCGATGTATGTCTTTTTACAATATTCTGATTCTTGAAGCTCTGGAAGCAGATCTTATGCAAGAAAGTGCGCGCTGGTTTTGAGGAAATTTTACGAAATTCTATGACATTATTTCAAAATTATATATAAACTCCAGTCTGAACATAGCTTAGGCATCGAAAAACTGAAGATTTCAGAAATTAGCTACACATTAGTCTAAGTTTTATTTTCCATATTTTTGATGGTTTTAAAGTTGCATAATTTAACTGACAAGCACGTACATTTTAAATTAAATTAAGAATGAAAATTATACTGTTATTTTCGGAGAGAAATGGAACAGAAATGGGTTACCATCATATTGAACTTGAAATAATGAGAGCCAAGCCCATGAAAACGCCTTTGAAATCAATAACCAGGTTAAGGCTTGGTCTGGATACAGTAATGAACGGACTGCTATTGCACTACTGTAGTTTTGAAATTATTATAAATCAAGAAGTGAATATTGTTGTAGCTTCAATGAATATGATAACTCCTTGGATAGTATAAAAATTTTGCTAACAGTCCCCACCATTCAAGTCTTTGGCATTGCTCCATGCTACTCTTACCTTGGCGATAATCTATTTTGTATAAATAGTAAAAATTATCACTATACTAATAAATTTATCATATAATAATACAGATATTTGCGAACCTTCCGATGACTAAAGCGATGAGTATCAAAAAATTGAAAAAATCTCTGATAATCATAAGTTTAACTCGCACGACAAATGCGCCAAATGTTTGCGATAAGGGGACAAAATGAAATAATGTTGAGTAACATAGATAGAGTAATAGAAATGCTGACGAGATTCGAATCGCATACGGTGTATGGAATGGCTGAAGCAGAGAATCAATAAAATTTCTCATCATATTTCAAGCGGCGATCACTTCAATATAACCTTGGCTCAATTCAATCAATTAGTCAAAATAGCTTTAAGACTAGCATTCACTGAACTATGAAAGAAACAATTCTCAAGTTTTCATCATTAACTACAGACCCGATTATACTAATTTGAATAAAAAGGATAAGCGTAAAAACAAACCATCGAACTGATTGGAATCGTTAACGAAAGCACTTTGAGGATGAGTATAACTAAGAGATGCAACGCTATCACAATAATATCAAAAAAACGCCAACGAAGCTGAAATTTCTTTTGTTAAGTTATTCAGTTCCTCTATGTATTATTCAATTATTTAATTATGAAGTGTTTCGATATTTTTAAAATGTCACGTCTGTATAACTTGACTACTCAATTAACTCATAAATTTCAAGAATTTCTGAACTCTTATTAAATTTCAATTTTCATTAACCTGACGCAAAGGAGCTCGCTGAATGCGATTCGAAAATACCCAAATCGACTCAACGAGCGATAAAAATGTCCAAAGCCATATTAAGGTATCCAGAACGAGAGATCCACAACCAGGCAATGATACCTGACATTGTGACTTCTAAGACATTCAGTCAGAAAAAATATGGTAATTTGAAATTTATTAAATCATAAGATAGAAATAAAAGAAAGTAGTGGTTCTGATTGCATAATTATATCCCTGATTGTTCTAAAATATGCGCTGAGTGGAATAATCCAGGATTCTGATGATAACCACAAAAAATGTCCTTGAAAAATCCTCGAAAACTAACCGTATATGCAAACAAAACGATATGAATGAGTCGAAAAACAAGAGAAAGCCAATATTTAACAATTGGTGTAGAATAGAATGTTCCAATAGATAAGTAGGAGATTGTTCGTCGAACTCGTCTTCCTTCATGCTTTGTCTTCGGTACAGAAGCTGCAAGATCGAGCCCTCTTAGCATCAGACCTTCGACTGATTGATAACCTAGAAATCGTTGAACTCATGAACTCATAAATGAAATTGGTTTTTTGCAACAAAATTAACAGCTTGAATCTTCAAGTACTATCATAAAGATTGAAATAAATACCACAGGATATTCAAAATGAATAACGAATTTCACCTTCCATTAGAAGACAAGAACTTGTTGACGTTTCACCTGGTGATCGTTCATCATGAACAGCTGGCATGATGAGTTCATCACGCTGTATATTTTTACTGGGAACATAACTAAAAATGCATTCTTTAAACTTTACCTTATTTTCACTACTTCTCCTGCATATTTTCTTGTACTGTCTTTTGCATAGTTCGTGTTTAAAAAAGTGTCAGGCTATTTCTATGCGATACTACCTTTTAGCGTCTCCTTGACCGTGAAATTGCAGAAATGCCGCTGTAGGACTAATAGCTGAGCTTCGATCATGAAAATAACTTTCTGGTGCACGATATCGTATCCACCATTGAATTGGAATTACCAGTACTGATGCAAGCAAAATTTTCAACCAGTGTGGTAGAAGTACAAAACCCTTCGAACAAGCGACCTATGGCATTCCATGATACAATAAGGTGCAAAGCAAATACAGTAATCCGCTTAAATAATTTTGTAAACGTAAAGATACAAATGTGCATTTTTATGGCAATACAAAATGAAGTAGATGGAACATATAAGCATAAGAAATATTTATTGATACCTGTAGTTTCCCATACAAAAGTCGATAAATCCATTTTTGACAGCATCGATGAGCCACAATTTGTTTATTGTTAGTCTGAAAACTCTACTTTAAATAGTTCCAGCAACAGGTATAAAACCCATCAAAATACATGACCCCTTACAGATCAATCAAAAAAGTGCTACCTGGAGTGCAAGTTCTGTTAGTGTCAAACCACCGAACAGTTCTAATGGTAAACATAATAGACGGTATGTTTCCCGAGGTGATTCAGCATTTGCAGCATCTAATATTGCACTAGCGTGAGAACTGAACCATCGTGCTGCACTCCTCAAATCATTTTCGTACAAAAGATAATCGTGCACCTGTAATCAGATTTTGAATAAATCCAAAGGGAAGACGATTGCGATTCTGTCAACAACATTATATTAGTATATATCACAGCCACACTAATTAAATAGACAATGCTGAAATATATAAAATCGGTTGATAAAACGTTGTCTTGCTTGAGAATGCAAAATCCATCGCAATTTTGATGACATTCCTAAATTATCACAAATCGTCAAACCTCAAAAGCTAGCGAATTACATATCCGTGCAAGGATCACTGCCGATGATACTGGTTCAAAAGAATATGCACACAGACATTTTGCTAATTCGAGACGATTCAATAGTACCGACCATATCGCCAATATTTGAAGAGATTGATTTTGGCTGGATATATGCTGATGGAAATATGATGCTGACAGCAAACTTTTAACACCACCGGATAAATAAATCTGAAATGACTTACTTTCCTAAACTGTCCGATTCACTTTATGTCATTAAATGACATTCGGGAACATTTAGAAGAATAATTGATTACCAGAAGTTGTTCCAGTTCTTCGAGGAAAGTCATATCAATTTCAACCACCGGCGAATTTTTCCCCAGACAATGAGAAACAATGATGTTATTAAAAAATGCCTACAATTTGAGAAACATAAATATTTTTCCATATAGCAGATATTATCTCATCTCAAAATTTGCTATTCTTCTAAACTGTATTTGATTAATTTCCAAAAATTTATCACTCGAATTCTCGGACCATTCCATCAAAGTTAGGTTATTGTCAGAAACAATTACTTGATCTGAAGCATGTCGCATTAATTTTGTCAACAGATGTAATGAAACTTTCAATGAAATATTTTGTTCTAATATAGCTGCTAAAACGATCAATCGATTGTCTGATAGTAAAGCTTCTTCGAAAAGATCGCCCATGTCCTGAAGTATATTAACGCTTGGATCTCATCGATTCTTTTAAATGCCAAGCATTTTGTTGAATATAATAATCAAACATGAAATATAAAATTCATGTTTTATTATTAAGTATAACAAAATCCTCTACTTCTCATGATCCGGCCAATTGAAATACATTTCTTCAGAGTACTTGAATTTACAATCAGGAAAAGTGGCGATGAAATAAAATGAAGATCGAATCGTGAAATGAAGCTTAGGAACTGATAGATCAGAGATCAATTGGATGCTTGCAACTGCTCAAATTATTGCAGTACTTCAAAATTTTTCGTACCGTATTAGTACGAAGTGTGGTAAGATCGGTTGATAAAATGATGGATGGAACATTGAGCTTTACTGCAAGACGTAACAAACGATGGATGTCATTCATGTCAATGGCACTTTGCATGCACAACTTTAGAAAATGACCACGTAAGCTATGAATCTGAAATATGAAAAATGAAATAGAAAGTCGGGAATGAACTGTTATATTGTTGAAACCCAGCTTCAATACCACTTCATACTTGTGAAACTCTAAATAGCATCGAATGCGCAGTAGCACTCTTTAAAATCACCTGTTCAATAAGTATAAAAGCTAGTAATGGTACTTCTCCGCAACCAGCAGCCAATGAAGCAATAACATTTTCCTTAGCTTCTTCAATTAATTGATTCCCGTGCAAAAGACTATTTGGTGCCAAACTACGCAGTTCCGAATCCAACCATTCCAACCAACTTTCGAAATGAAATGCGGAACTACGATACAGTAACCAGGAACTATTCAATATAGCACAAAGTTCACTACCATCCTGAAATCTCCTCGAGACAAAAAATTTTTAAAATCACATCGAGATCAAACTTGAAACTCCGGAAAATTTTTTCCTTCATGGAATTAATAGGCCTTATTACTTTTATCATTTCGCTGTTTCGACGTATCCAATTATTTCAGGTTGTATCCTGGCATTCCCAATCTTCGATGTGTGTGATTTGCTTACCTGCAAAATGACCACTGGAATGCCACATTGCAAATGCGCCCGAAGTTCAGCAAGTGATGATAGCTCAGCTCCACAGAATAGTGCTACCGGTACTGGTAAATTCTCATGTTCACTAGGCGGTAACAATACAGTTTGCGACGGTGATCGACAAGCAGTATTGCTTTGTGGCACACCGATTAGTAGCGCTGGAATGTAATGAAATATTTTTGGTCGTTTGTTCTTAGAAATTTTGCAGAAACTATCTGCATGACAAGAAACAGTGACAGAATATCTCTCTCGGTGACACCCCATTGAGGTAGTACTCTCCAGTATATTTCAACGATTTCCTGAATATTCCGGGGAATCAAGCCTCACTGCACACTTCTTAGAACTTCTCAAAGTTTACCAGGTGGTGGTGTTGACAATTTCATGGCGATAAGACTTCTGAACAATGCTAATCTCTTAATCGGAAGCAATTGCTCCATCCACAGTATCATTATTGTTTTGTATTGAGTATCAACCATTGGGACGCGATACGTTTGTTGATCGTTCACCACACAGCTAATATCATTTACAACTAGCAGTAGAGTTTCCACGTTTGTTGAATTCTGAATCCGTCCTTATAAATTGTTGTTTACATTCAAATACTCAACTATTTCATAGCTTCTTTGAATATGTCAATTGTCTCAAACACAGTTTCATATTACACAAAAAAAAAAAACAATAACGATAAATAAAAATCTTTCAAGTATCTGCAAATTGTACAGCATTATGGCGCATATATTCCAGAATTCACCAACCGAAGATTCATTGGCGCGCACAGTCTTAACAGCAGCAGAAGCTAACGGATCACGTGCTTCACCAGATATTACAAGCCACGAATTACAGTTCAAAACAATTTGTGATAGAGCTTTCTCGATTTGCTTTTGTCTCTGCAATATTTATTATACGAATTCTAAAAGATCATTGTACGCTTTTCTAAAATTACAAGTGAAAAACAGAAAAAAAAATGGTAACAAAAAGCGGAACAGAATGCGGAAAGAACTAAATGTTAGTAAATTCACAAAGGGTCATAAACGTAAGGTTCAAGCCATTTCTTTTTGCAATGAAATGACTTTTTTCTCCAACAGTCTTCCTTATAAGCTGGAAGTTTTGAAATAATAAATGCTATCAATTTGATTTTAAAAGAGGGAAAGAAGACAAAAAATTCCACAAATTACCTCTAATTATATGTTCAAATCGAAAACAGCAATAAGGCGGTCTTTTACTCCTTATCGCAGATCTATTAATTTCTCAGCAGCGAAAAAGCAAAAGCGAAAGATCGGAAAACAGAATGGTCAGATGTAAGCTAACTTCAAATAACAAGAAAAACTTTTTTTCTTACATGAGTTTTAGGTTTAAATGAATGTTAAAGGTAATATTTCAAAGAATTTAAAAAAAAAAATTGATTACCTGTAGACCGATAATGTTTTCACCGGAAATCAACGAAATGATGATATCAGGAATACCCTCATCGATATGACAAGAATATGCAGCCAGTTGGCTGTAAATGTGCTTCACTAATTTGGGAATTGCTTTCTGCGACCGGATCAACAATGCCGGACAAATCTGTTCAATCGAACCTCGATCATCTCTATACGTTGATCCCACGCATAGTTTAACGGTAGTTGCACGTAATTCATCGTCACGTAGAGCTTCTTCACCGTTTTCCATTAGTAATTGATATAACGCACTCGTTCGCTAATAAAAACTTCCCGAAACTACGATAACCGGAAACTTCTTTTATATTACAGTATTTACGTAATTACATGATTTCATAACCTGCTGCATTTTATAACCTGTCCATTTATTATTCTCGATGATATATCGCGGCCAAGGTAGGATTGGAAATTCCCGATAGGAAGTTCCTTTTTCTTTTGTTCATAATATTGCAAGATATTTAGAATGCCGCGATAGGCTAGAAAATTGAACCTGTGACAAACTGTATTTTTCGTCACAAAGCTGTAATCCAATTTTCAAAGCAAAGACATGCAGGTAAATGAGCCAATCAGGCCAACTATTCCATATTAGGGATTAAAGAGAGAAGAGAAATTCTGCAGCAACAGAATTTCCACAGGGCAAACTCTTTAGAAAGCAATTCCACACTGTCCTACTATTCATGCTATCTAATAGATAGATATTTAGAGGTATCAGAAAATCTAAATACCAGGGAAATTACATCATGAAGAATCATTCCATTAGTCGGTCACACTTCCGGAAAACTTCCGGTAGAAAGTGTAAATAGATGCAACAATCGGTTACGGCTAATGGAAAAGAGATATGGGTTGAAGAGTTGAACAGAGCAGAAGAATTGAGAAGTGGAAGAGGGGAGGACCGAAAAGACAGGGAATGGGATCATGGAAACAAGAAAGGGGTATAATGGAGCGAGGAAAAACGTAAACTTGATGTCCCCGTCCTGGTTCATCAACTTTTCATTGGAAAAGAAGAAAAATGCGCTAAAAGAGAAAAACGGCATAAGAATTGCAGGAAAACGTTGACTCATACAATCATTAATCAAAAATTTTTTTAAAATGGGCAAGGTTGGTGATGACAATGTGACCGATCAAATGACTTGCAGTGGACAAACAAGCGGATAGATACACGCATACACATACATACATATATACACACACACACACACATACACACACACACACACACACACACAAGTACATACGCGCAGATACGCATCAGTATCCCTTTGACAGTCATTTTTGCAACCTAAATTTTTTGCATAAATACAAGATCGATCTGAATCATTTGATTTGATTTCGATTAAAAGTTATATTTTACAAGAATTACACATTATTCTATTTCCCACCGATGATGATAACAAAACTCTAATTATGCGATAAGCCTTAACTTGGTATGTAAATGAAAGGTTCAATGACTTCTTTCAACACCAAGCAAAACGGGTATTTTGCACAGTATTTCCATTCAAGTCAAAAGGAACCAAAATTTTATTTCCTTGAATTACTCCTTCTCCCTGCAATTAAAGTGGACAATCGAAACGGAGGAGTGGACAATTAATATAATCAACAAAAGTGATATGTAAAACCGAAAATTTGAACACATAACTAAGCTTTTAACTTATTTCGTTGTTTCCCAAACATCCTTCCTTAATCGCACTTTATCTGAATAGAATTAGAATTATTAAGGCAAAAGTATATTTTCTAGGAGAAAACGAAACAGAGGTCACTTTCAAATAGCTGTAAAAATGCCACTATGCTGACCATTCATTCATCTACTTTTAGCGAGGCGCGCAATGTCATTGTATGAAACATCTGCCATCCATAGGTAGTTCGGCCTCCCACTTTATGTTTTCTTATGATGAAATCATGAAGATTCTTTATTTTTTATTTTGTATAATCAAAAATCCAAACTGAAACATTTGAATTAGTTGTAATTTTAATTAATAAATGAAATTTGGAATTACATAAGTTTTGCCGTCTTTCCAGGTGTCCAAACTACCTGGAAAAAAGGTAAATCCTATTACAGGTATACGATATAAATGATCAACAACGGAAAGGTGAGAGATTCGATAGAATGTTTCATAGTACGTCACTGAGAAAATTCGGAAATGATGATGGAACTCATTCTGAAAGTTCTAACTTTGAGCAGGTTATTGTATCTTCATCTGAACTATTCACCAGTATCTGCGGATCTTTCTTCTTTTATTGCTATGCCAACATCTTTAAAAAAATACGGAGATCAAATTACAAATATGTTCAATAATGATTGTAGGCTATTTAAACTTTAAAATTAGAGTCCATTGGATTGCAAACTTAAATTTGAAATTTAAATTGCAAAACTTAAAGCTTGAAGTGAATCAAAATATAGAAATGGCAAACACTTATCCTAACTGACCAATCGATTACTGGCGTATAACCAACGGAAATTCATATCAAGCCCGATATTTGTAGTTCCAGTTTCATTTATCAAACAATACAACTATCATATTATGTACAGAAACCTTGTGGTGCATAGCATGGCTTATTACCAGCTACTACAAATAGCCTAGGCTTTGATGACATACAAACACAAACTCGCAAGGCATCTATTGAAGCAGTCAACGAAGGGGATGAGCTCAATGGCAATGTTTTCAGACTATTTCCAAAATAGAGTTTCTTGGTCGAAAACATTATTAAACCATCAGCCTGGAAAAAAAGTTGAAATTATCATGAAAACGATCTTTTTCTGTAAACTTATACGGAAAAATCAAAAGTTCGTTAAATTCTTTCTATGCCGATGTATTTGACGAACTTTTGAACAGTGGTCAATTCAAAATCAACAGAACAGTTCCCTCAAAATAACATGAAATTTGAAGATCGAAAAAGTTTGTATTTGCTGTAAAAAGAAAATCAGAATTCCATTAACTGATAAGATTATTAAATACAGTTCTGATGAGAAATAGCACAAATCTTTATGGAATAAGTCACTAAAAGATAACTTTCATAAAGGAAATTTGGACGGAAGCATAACGGAAAGGAAGGGATGTTGAAGATAAATATTGGCTGTCAAGTGTATCTGTTCTAATTTCAATCAAGAGATAAAAGGATGTAGCTGAGAGTATTTTTTATAATTTAAATAAATTGAAATTATGAATTATTCATACCGTTGTTCCTAATGAAATACCGGTTCCAGCGGTCAAATTTATTCGTTTTGCCTCCAAATGTATCCCCTCATTACCACGTAATCCCAGATTTACCACGTCCACGTATAAATTATCGTTGATTGGTGAACGTATCTAGAAATCATTCAGAAAATTTTCATTTAACTGAATTGGGATCCAGATTCAAATGTGACTACAAAATTGAGCATAATTAATAGATTCTTACAGTTTAAGTGAACTCGATTCTACAATTAAATTGCTAAAAAAATTTAGGACCAAACTACGCCGCAGTTAGCTGAAATTTATGCACTTTCCAGTTATTCTTTCCTCACTTTATCAGAGAGTAAAAGCGAATAAAACAACACAGAAATCAAAGTACCCTTTGTTCGGACAAATTATTCAACATAAAGTTTCTGAACTCTTTGAATCTTGATAATCTTCTGCATCCGCAATTATTTCGGATCATGTTTCAATTTAAAGGAACAAAAACTTCTGAAGGATTGTTCTGGACTGAACTGCAAACTTCAGTGATCCTCAGCTTAAGAAGCTAAACGATGGATTTTAAGAATTTTGATTTGCTAAATAATTTCTAAAATTGCAAAACTTGTAAGAAAAAATGGACCTTGTCCGTTACAATTTGGGCAGTCGATATCTTCTTAATCCTCTTGTCTACACGAAACAGTGGATGCTGAACACTGAAGTATGGTCGAAATGCATCTTTTATCTGTAAAATTTTAAATTGTACAATCTTAATTGCTTCTTGTTTTTTCCTCTATTAACTGTCACTAATTCAACGAAATATTTATGCTTGTTTCTTTAGAGAGATGAACTCATTAACCCTAGACTTTTGCTTAGGCCTTTTAATTCTTTTTAAATTTCTTTTAAAGCTTAAAACAATTTATGGATGGCTATAGTGACGAACGGTAAATTGATTGCTGTTCTCAAAGCGACAAATGCCATCCTGCAGCACCAAACGACTTTGCGCTGATGTACTACTGATTATTACCTGAAAAGCAATTAACAACTAATTTGCAATTTGCAATTAGCGATTTACAAGTTTGCTCCTGCAATCACTTCATATTAGTTTCATTGATTTGTAAACATAGTTTCACTCTCTTTCCAGATGCAAACTTCTTCAGAGGAACAAGAAGGATGAGCCTTGTCGAACTCTATGGAGAAATTTCGTCCAACAAAAATTTAAGGAAATCGGTGATGAAATTGGAATTAGCATATATGAAATCAAATAAAAGTGAATGAAGAAAGTCTGAAGGGATTGTTATTTCTTCTGACAAATATGTCTATCTATTCAAGCAATCCGTTGATTCAGGATAACCTGAATTTGCATCTTTTAAAATTTTATTAAATTCTAGAAATCATTCTCAAGCGAAAGCTAAACAGCGTACCCTAGAACCTAAGATTGCCAAATCTTTCCCTGCACCTCCATAAACGACACCACTTTTCGCGATCACTTTACCCAGATGGATTTCATTAGCCGAAAATTGTAAAACGACATCCTCTTTGCCGGTATCTGGATGATATCGGCTGTGGAACTGTAGATGTTTCATACCTCTAGTTGACATACCCAACACATGAATAATGAAGATGTTTAACTGCAAATATTTAAAATAGGTAAATATAATCAGAATAATCAGATTTTATTACAAAAGTAAAAAGAACCGATGATAGATTGGCTAAGATAGTACTTCTCCTAATTTAGTTTAGTACCCATTAAGGGTTTAATTCCTTCATCCGATTAAACCATCAGAAAGGTTGTGAATTACCTATTTCACTATATCCCAACATTGCTTTTCTGTCGATTATGTGACGACTAATTCAGCTCAAGTTAACAAAAAACGCAAAAATAAGCAAAAAACTAAATTAGTATTGATCATGAAAAAAAAAAGAAACAATGCAAAAGCTTACAATCAATAAGATGAGTGTAATAATTGTTAGCACCACTAAACATAACAACAAAATCCATAGTCGCTTCTTGCGTAATCCGGTGACGTGTAACTTATACTCAATATTATTCGAAGTAGGGGGTGGCCGTGGTTCTTTGGAATTCAGAAAACGTAAATGCTGCTGATCATCATCATCAGCGGTACCACGGCGATACATCGATCTACCAACTGGCATTACACATCTAGAACTGACACAGTCGCAGTGTGTGATAACTCCTCATCCGCTTCTGACTAGCTGCAACTATGTTCTTCCACATAGCTTCACGAACAACAAGAGTGAAGAGCTAAATATTTATATAAATATAGTCCAACTTATTAGGGCGTTGGTATCACTTCTAGCATATTCCCATCAAGATATATCGAGCACCGTTAGATGATATCTTAAAGATCGAGATATTCTTCCAATAATTCTGTCGTACAAGGATGTAACCGATTTTCGGTAGTTGTTTTGATTTCCGTTATTTCGCTGCTATAATAGTTACTTTTTCTTTTTTCAAAAAATATCAGTGGCGGCAGTTTATCTGCCAAAAAATCTTTATTCACACAATATGCTGCTTCGTACTGCATAATGAAAAATATTTTTGCGTTTTTTTTTTTATCCAACAGTTTTATCACAATGCAACAATGATAGACAAAAATAAAGTTGAAGTACAATTCACGAAGAGCTTTTTACCATTTTTCTTGAGTTTTGAACCCAATTTAACTACAGGGCAGAAAATCCTAAACTTTAAAAGGTTCTAACAGTTGCAAGAAATGAAACAGTAAACAGCTCACGATTAAGAAATTAAAGAAGCAACTGAAGACCCACTCTCACTATAGAGTGAACTCTTTAATTTGTCAAAACTTGAGTTTTGATCCTCTACTAGTTTGGGGTGAAAATAAGGATAAGGATTATTATTCATCGTACAGATGATCCGTAACTGAAAGAACACTATTCAATGAGTTCCTAAAATGTGCAAAAATAATTACCCTTATCGGCCAAAACAAAATAAACCAAACCGGGAATGGTGAGTCGCTACCGAAGAATTTCTTTGAAAATCTCAGAAAGCTATCCCTCTAAATAAGAGAATCAATAAATATTTTAAACGTCTAAGAGAGAAAATAAAAACATGATGTTAGGTGAGAATGCTCATGATTCACAAAAATCAGAAGAGAAGTTAGAACATAAACGATGACTGATGATTATGAAAAAATGCAGAGTTAAAAAAATTTTTGCTGAGTGGCAAATTAATCGAACTGGGCCGAAAATGACGCAACTAGAAAACCCAATAAAGCTTCAAAAGTAATCATAAAATATCGTTTCTTTTTTTAGAAAAAACATTGGATTTTACGATGAAAACTGTATGTCCACATTCATTACTAAACATTTCTGATTTGAAAAAAGAAATCGAAAAAGATCTTCACTACCAAAAGATCAACATGGTAACTTCTGAGATGATAACAAATCTGACTGAACTGCATCCGTTAAAAGCGTCTCTAAAACAAGAAATGTAATTTGCTAAAATCTGATCTTAAAATCGCAATTACAAAGCTTTATCTAGCATGAAATAAAACAGATTTAACCAACCACAAGTAAACAACAACAGTCAAAGTCTTTTACACAGAATTATTCTTTTTGATTTTGAAATAAATAGCTTTTCCTCGGCTCAGAAACGAATTAAACATTCAGACTATTAAAGAGCTGCCAAATCATTATTTGTAATCAAATCTTTCGTCCCAAAAAAAGGGCAAAGATCCATATTGAATTGTAAAGAAGAAATGCGAGATTTACCTTGTAGTCTCTAAGGCAGGACAGGCAAATACGCGGACGGTCCGTGTGGTCAAATGGACATTCCTTTTTGACACATAACTTGTCATAACGACAGTAACCATGAAAATAGTAGCATTTCTCGCCTGGACAGTTCGGGAAATTCCTAGAAACAAAAAACAAAAGTTGAAGTTTTCTTCAAATCTATATAGAACGTTTGGAAAATAACGAAAATATTTTTCAAAATAAAGAAAAGGAAATAGGAGAAAGTACACACTTGCATTTTACGGGGGGGCCATGCGGACATCGACCTCGGCCGCGTTGGGCAACTCCAGCTGAACGACCTCGTTGACGATCAGCGAGATAGATCTTCTCTTTCAGACACTCCTAAAAATAAAGATTTAAAATTACCATTTGGAACGAGAACTGATGAAAAATAATCGTATGTGATAGCAGAAACTCAGTGAAATTTAGGCCTCATTTTAGAAAGAAAGACCTAAACAATGATGTAATGCCTTATCGTAGTAACGTAATGTCGTAGTCATCGGAATCAGCAAAATGGTTATGTCAGTGAATTACCTGAGAGACTAAAAAATAAAAACAGCGAACATAAACGTAAAGAATGACTTTATAGATGTGATCCCGGAATTCTTCCCAATTCGAATCTTTTGCGCCACTTATTTTCCCACCAAAATCGTCTTTGCAAAAATCACACAGCAAACGATAGTCAGAATGACGTCGTTTCATGTGTTCGCAAAGTTTTTGCACGCTCGATGCTTGCTTCTCGCAGTGAGGACACGGAAAGCAAGCACCATGAGCACGGATTTCATGCTCACAGAGCTCTCGAATGGTTTCGAAGTCACGGTCACATTTGCGGCAAGGGTATTCGTAAACCGGGCGTGCTGGGCTGAAAATTGATGAAAATCAATAATATTTACAAACTTACTTTTGGAATATAATCTAAAAGCTGGAAAATATTTTATAAGAAATCATCAAACCAAAGTTTAGTCTGTATTCGAAACCAGTTGTTCAATAATCCCTAAATAGAATAAACTAACTACACTCAAAACAGAAGCTGTCCATATTCATCATAAAGCCACTGAAAGCCATGTCAGTGATTTGCAAAATAATCCGTCTCAAACTTTGGCATCTTTAATGTATCTGATTGTTTCAGATGGAATTTTTCGCCGTTGGAGGTACGAAGATGTATGAATTGTGGGTTTCTCACAATTTACAGAACCCTTAAGCAAATTCAAAAAATAAAACGATAAAACATTCGGAAAAGATGCACATATCTGTCCACAATTTGACTTTTTCATAGTTATTCACTTGGTTAAACTTGAAACTTAGAAAGATAGAAGAATTAAATATAGTTTCTAAAATGCTAATTACGCACATAATACTGGACATATTTGGACAGTACCTCTAGACTACAACATAATTTCACCTGCGAATAATTTCAATCATAATGATAATGGTAATAACAATAATGATAGCACCAGTGTGTTTGCTTGTATAGCCGCTGCCATCATAAGACCGTTGGGATGGGTATACCGAAGAACAATGATGATAATAATAATAATAAATGATGAGGCTGGACTAACCGGATACAACTAACACCGTCAACACAACACTGCATTAAAAAAAGTTAAAATACTATGCAAATGAGAATCAACTGAAAAAAAACTGAGAAAATAAGATCAAATGAAAAGGCAATTACAGTTGTTCATACTCTAAGATTTACTAAAATATAAAAATTTTAGAAAAAACGTTAAAATTAAAGCTGCTAGGATACTACTTCAGTTATACACTGGAGTATCCTTATATTAGTCTGACCTAATCAAATAGTAGACGCAAGTTCTGTTGTCTCAATGTCCTGCTACACTGATCTTATAAACAGTGCTAATTTCTTTTTTTTTTTCAAATAAATATTTCCGTAACTTGATGTTTTTATTTGTAGCTAATAAATCAATAAAATCTACCTCATAGCTTTGAAGGAACCGTAAGTGTCTCGACTTGAAGATGATGAACTACGCGTAGGACGACGCCTTGGACTGCGACTACGTGATGCTTTGCGACGACGCATCGGGCTACGACTGCGACTGTATGAGCGTGAACTATGACGGGCCTTTTTTTGGATGACTTACGACGCGAGCGTGAACGCGAACGTGAGCTAGCTCGTCGTGGCGATCGAGAACGTGTATGTGACTTGGTCCGAGATCTCGATCGGCTTCGCGAGCGCGACTTCGTGGTAGCTGTGCGTGTGCTTGACCTTGAAGAATGTCGACGACGGCGCCGACGACGTCTTGATGAAGTGGAATGCGATTTTGATCGCGATATACGTTCTTTTTTTGGGTGAGTCCTAAAAAAAATGCTGATAATGATTTTGGGCAACACCTCGTATTACTATCCCTCCTATAGAAAGCATGTTGAAGCACCCTATTTCAGGCTATCTTTATCGTAATTCTTTTTTACGGTTATCATATCACAATATACTTATCACAAGCTTAAGAAATTTTAAAAAAAAGCATTATTTCTGCTCTGGGGGAAAAAAAACTAACTCTCCACCAGAAGCGCCTTCTTTTCTAGCAGAATCATCCGATTTTTCTGACCTGGTTTCGACGGTATCATCTTCCTCTTTGTTACTTCGATTGTCATCATATGCCAGTTTCCTTTCACCATTACTAACTTTACCGTCATCATCCAGATATTCTGACTTCTCGTCACCATTCATTTGACGGTACTGTTCATTGTCCACACTTCCTACTGGATTTTCTACTTCCATCATCTATATAAAAAATTCAAATAAATTTCCGGAAAATTAGTAACCGTAAATAATCTTACACTAGATAAAGTTCAGACTACATTCACAGCGGGTACTCTTTGCTCATAAAAATTAGACCGCACAGGGATCGAAGAGGAACAGATCCTAACCACATTTAAGTTCAGATACGAAAATTCTGATCGCAGTGGAATTCTATGGATATGAATAACATGAGAGAATATTCATAACCGGAAAACCGAAAACCAACCGTTCTACGGCTGCAAAACTAATGGTTAATGACAGAAAGCAGGAAATGTTTAGGACCATATGCAGTAAATTATGCAAATAATATTTGAGCGAATTTAAGGATGCTATATAATCTTATCAAAAAATTACGTAACTTTATGCATAACACTACCCTGTGTAGAAATTTTTTGTACGAGATCAAAATCTGCCAATTCATTTTTTAACTGAAATTTATATATTTAACTCAACCTTAGAATCTAACGGTAGCATACCAGTGATTCGATATTTACTAGAACTGGAAAAGTTAGCGGAATCCTAAAAGATAAAAAACTTAGGCAAAGAAAACTTCACCTTACCTTACGTAAAAAAAGCGAAAATCTCTCCTTTCTAGAAAACCTACTCTTGTGACTATTAGCGCTTACAGCTTAGCCTATGCTCACTTAAAAATCAGAACATTTTTGATCAGAATAAAGACTGCTGACATATGTATCAAACTCGTCGTCTCCATGGTAATCTTTATCTGATTAAAATCTCTACATTTATTTCACAGATATGTATGTATTCAACCGCATAGCACTGAGCAAAGTACACTATGAGACATTGTTTTCACTAGAATTTCACTACCTGATAAATTTTGGTATTTGATGATTTTTTGCAATCATAACTAATGGATATTCAGCATATTGTCGAGAAAGAGAGTGAAATGTCAGGAAGTGTGTCCCTAATGTATCAAATCGTTAAAATCGTCCGAACTAGAATAGCTACAACTTTGGGTCTACATAGTCTTCAACATGGAATTAAAGTTATAGATAATTCAGGTTTTCGAATTTCTGTCCAATGCTAATGATGCTTGCAATAAACAGAAGGTGAAGTTCCACTCTCCAAACCTTTCACCAATGAGACTGGTTCATGCAGATTACACTTGCAACACCAGAATTGAACTAGATCGTTACACCACAAATAGTCTTGAACTTTTCGAGGAAACTTTACTTTAAATTCATCACCAATCATTAAATAGTTGCTTGAATAAAGAATGGGTTGACAAAGAAGTGAAATAGCCAGAACCTATGAACTAATTCATCGTCGTTTGCTTTTTGTGCAGCCAAGAATAAAATTTTCAGCTGATATGCACCCAGGTATGCCTACAGTACAATCCTTGCCTCCTACGCCAACTGCAGTAACACTTCATCATTTAGCACTAGTTTTCATGGACATTATTTGATTTGCACTTACTTTTGCAGATTCTATATTTTACATACTTGTGAGGAAATTGCTGATGAATTACGTAACAATGATAACGGTGACTGCAGATAATTTAAAGCTTTGATAACAATGAGCATGGTAGTGGTGAACGATAACATAACGATATCTCTCTCGACAACTATAATATTTTCACGGCTGATGATGATAGTGGTGATGATAATGATGATGATGCTGATGACAATAATACATATAATGATGTTACATACATAGGATATATATATAAATGTCGTGTGACAAGCCTGCAAGTTCTATTAAATTACGTATTGTCATGCAAAGTCATGTGTGAATGGGCTTTTTTGAAAATTTGGAAGGAATGGAAACTGAGTTTTATGTTTCGTTAATTCGATATTGAAGTATTAAAACTAATCTTTACTCATTTAGTCGGAAATAAAAGAATTCAAACCGTGGAAACAAATAAATGGCCTCATCAACCGTTTTGGTTTCCAACTCTGCTTTATATATGATAACACTCTAAAACAAAAATTTTCAGTATAATTTCAACCGAGACAACAGTGCCATATTGAACTTATGCACTTAATGCCTAGTTTTCTCATAAAGTAAGCAGGCACCTCAACAAGGACAGAAAAGCCTCTTGCTATGCCATACCTGTGAAGAGAATTGACAAAGTAGGAAAGATTTCTTGAAGGATGGTTTTGAAAAGTGAATAAGATGAAGCAAAATATGAAAAATTACCGAAAATTGCGACAAAAATGACCAGCTGACGACGATATCTCAAACGATAACAATGATATCACCACTGCTGAAATGATAATAACGGTATAATCAACGTTTAATTGTTACGATATCTTCGGAGTCAGCGCAGCAGCAATGTTAAGGACGTAATATCTTATAATTTCGAGTTCACAGTAAGGTCTATATTTCGCACTTAGTGACGATGTGCAACAACATAAGTTACGTCAGTAGCAGCCAATGAACTTGCAACCAAGCGATCAGTCATGCCACACTGAGAAACATGCACTTCGCGTCATATAAATGCAAAACGCGTGCATGTGTGCAAAACTGATCAGTTAGTATGCTACCAAAACAACTCGACCTGTAGTATTCATGAGTATTCACGTCAACGTACATGACAGTCACAGTGGCAGTATATCGAAGGACAATTAAGCACTTCACGCCATATACACGCACACAGTCACGTGTGCACACGCACGTCAATAAATCTACACCATTTCTATCATACTTTTAACTCCTAAATCATAATGAATGGTGAGAAACGAAAACCATAAGTGCCAGAAGAAAGTTTAACAGTTCACAGCAAATGAGTCAATTGCCACAGTGGCATCGCATAACGTCGCGGTTAGACCGAAGACCACGAGTTTTCGTGAGAGCGAACGGCACACAGAAGAGTGCAACACTATGATGAGATGATATGGAGACATAAAAAAGGAGCCAAGTAAAATCTCTGCGAATACTCGAGGTCCAGTCGAGGTCGACATCATGCTTCGCTCAGTCACGTGGGCCTACATAGAGATCACGGTCACAATTTTTGCACTTCATATATTAAAAGGAATGAGCAGAACAGTACAAGCTAACCACAGCGAGACTGAAATAGTCCTGAGAAACTGCGGTAAGAGCAGTGAACCTGCACCAAAGAGAATCTATATGAGGATATATTTCCGATGACATCATCTAATAGACTGCAGCCAGCGAATGAAAGTCAGAGCGGATGTTCAGATGACCAGCAATTGACGTAGTGGACTTCGTCTGAAAACTGTAGTGTGACGGCAAGCCAGTCACTCTCCACTGATTTTACCTTCGATTGATCTCCCCACACCCCGAAAGTTTACAAACAGGACAGCCACATAACATGTCCCACGAAGTCTTCCCGACTAGCCAACGTTTACATGGGATACTCGTGTGATGGGCGCGGGTTCACTTTGAGACGACCGATTCGCTTCACTTAAATGTCTCGCTGGAAGGAAAATGTGAGGATGGGAGAGTGGATGTCGTGGTAACTGCGAGATTTGTTAGGTGGCGGACGTGGCTGATTAACTTAAGCTACTTGTGATAGAGTTAAGAACATAGAGATGTGTGAAGCTGTTGAATGAGTTAAATATTAGAATATATTCGTCAAACTTCTCACTGCTATAAACCTGTGTGTTATTATGGTTTCCCAGATAGCCGAGGGATGACATAATCACCCGATATTTTTTACTACCTTCCAACATGCTGTATTTACGGTGATGCTCATACAGGCCAAATGTCGCTTCATTAGCGATATCTCATTTGCCTATTATGGGTACCGCAAAAAAACCTATTAAGACGTAGCACGTGTCATTTATTTTACGTGACGTAAACGAGCGAGTTCAAGTTATACCGATTAATTTTTTTCTCAAATATGTTTCTTTTATAGTGCAAGTTTGAATTTTTCAGCTTCTCAACTATCGACTGTATCGGAGTGGACACAACATCATGTGACCTTAGGCTGCGGTTACTGCTTGAATTGTTTCTTGGGCTCTCGAACATTCTTGTCATATCAGTGAATTTATCATTTAACGTTTAGGTGCGTAAAGAGCTAATTTACCAATCATCTTAACAAACTAAACACTTTCAGTGGATACGAATAGACCCATTTATTCAAGATCAGTGGTTGTCGTCGTGTTGCAGGTGGTTCAGAAGAACAAATAACAGTGAGTTATAACACTAACGAATAAGACAACTTTCTTGATCTAGTCTCCTTTATGCATACAGAAAGATTAAGACTTTTAATTTAAAATTTTAGAGTAGTCGAGGGTTATCTTGAGTTTTTTAGGCTTAATTTTGAAAGTTAGGAATTTATATTTCGAGGTGCTATTGTGTAAGTGAAGATAAGTATGGAACTTTTAAATATCATTCGTTGGTATTTTTATGTCATTTGTATTCTTGTACTGATGGTATGCGGTTTGTTTCTTCAGTTAGGCAATTGGTGTTTCCACCAATTTCTCTAGTGTTTCTGTAGTATCTATATTTTAATAAGCCAAAACGTCCGAACACTAGTAGCGCATAGTGGATGACGCTTATTTTAGAAATCCACGTGCATTAATACCACTCTTGATATTTTTTAAAAATCCTCTGTAAAACTACTTGCAATGGTCGTCCACTTTTATTTGGAACTATAGAAAGCTCACGTTTTGAGCTTTCTATATCAAATTGTAAAAGCCTATTTCCAGGCCAGCTGAAGAAACTATTTATTTAATGAGAACAGGGAATACGCGCAAAAGATCCATACCTACAGTAGATACCGCCGATAAAATGGGTCTTCGTACTGCACCTTCAATCGATGAAATTTGGGGCGATATGGAAGTAGGTCTCAAAGAAGTTTATGCTCGGCAAACTATGATGCCGGCTCGTTACATGCAGCTGTACAGGTAGCTTTTCCACAAGTTTTGGAATTTCAAATTTCAAATTTATGTATGTATCCTTTTGCTAGTGAATTCTTTAGTTGATGAAAAATTTGTCACATTTTTGATTAAATAATGAATTCATCCTTAAAGTAATTTGGGTATGTGTCAATTTGGTGTCAAAATTTTTACATCTCATATCTTTTAGCTGAATGCACAATCCAGACTATTGGGAGCTTTCACTTTATCCTTAAAGTCAACTGAGTAATAATTTAAAATGGTAAAATGCAAAATTTAAATCAGTAATGTTTTGAATGAAATATTTATAGTCGTATTTATATTTATAGTCGTGTGTACACGTTTTGCACATCTGTCGCATACAACAGTGATTCACAGCGTGTTGGATCACGTAATCGCGCCAATCGTGTTCCACGTGGTAGCAATTCTGGTTCTATTGGTGCCGAATTCGTTGGTTTAGATCTATACAACCATCTGAAGCATTTTTTTCAGAATTATGTTGAAAATGTGTATCAGGTTTGCCTTGTGCATTTTATTGATTTGGATAGAAAAGGATTAATTCTCATGAAATATTTTGACTTTAGAAACTTTGGTAGGATTTTTTTTGGCTAGGGTTTCTTTTTTTTTTAGCTTTATGTTAACTTAGTAACAACTTTATTTGCAGAAAGGGCGTGATTTAAGTGGTGAGGACATTTTGAACTACTTCACTACACAATGGGATTCTTATCGATTTAGTTCCAAAGTGGTGGGAGGAATATTCAGCTACTTGAATCGTCATTGGATAAAGCGAGAATTGGATGAAGGAAATGAAGATATCTACGAAATTTATGTTGTAATGATTTTTTTCTTCTTTTCTGTATTTCAAAATAAAGTACCGCAGTTTGTCTTGATCAGATTGCGCCAAACATCTATGTTTTTCACCCTTCATCTTTTCAACAGATTTGAAAAATTTTTACCACTGAAATTTACTGTTCATTAGGAATGATTTCTATAGCTTAGGAAAAATGCTTTTTTAAAGGCTTGCAATTTTATAAGTCCTTGATTTATCAGTGTTACTATCTAGTTTTAGTTAGCGATTGTGACGTGGAAGGAGTTTTTGTTTATTCACATGCGCGACAGCGTAACAAGCGCAGTATTAAAACTAATTGAACGTGAAAGAAATGGCGAAAAAATCAGTACGAAGCTTATCAGTGGAGTAATCCAATGCTATGGTGCGTTCGTTAACCCGATTGCTACATTTTGAAGATCTCTCTTCCACTGCGAGTACTTTGCTCAAATTGTCCATTCTTACAAACATATTTTTGGCATGAATAGTTGCTTAAACGAGGTTTTACCATATAGACCCTAAGAAAAATAAGATCAATATTATATTAGTCCTCGATATTTGTTTCAATTTTATTTCAAGCAGTCTTTGTTGAATTACGATTATTTTCAGTGGAATTAGGCGTCAATGAAAATGACACCAGTATTACTGGTCAGGCAACAAGTTCATCGACAACTCATGTTGATCGTTTACCAAAGTTACGCGTTTACCGTGATTACTTTGAGAAACGCTTCATCGCTGATACAGAAAGCTATTTTGCCAACGAAGCTGCTGAATTTATTGCTGCAAATTCTGTTACTGAATATATGAAGAAGGTTTGATTTCATGTGTTTTTTCATTAACTATTAGGATTTTCACAACAATAAAGGGATATAAAGTGTTGTCTGGTGCTTTAGTTTTGAAAAATTTAAAGTATTTTGTCCTTTATTTATTCATATTTTCCCAGATTTTAGGTGGAAATTCGATTGAAAGAAGAAAAAGAGCGCTGTGATCTTTATCTTCATGAATCAACGCAAGATTTGCTAGCAAAAACGCTAGAAAAAGTACTTATCACGAAACAACTAGATTTATTTCAGAATGAATTCGGAAGTCTCCTTGAGTCAAATAAGGTCAAACTCTAAAATTCTTTCGTTTTAATGTACGCTCAGTAACTTCAGGAACAAAGAATACTTATTTAGATATATTAATATGCTTCCTCTTTAGCTATTTTTTGTGCCTGAAACTTCTTGAGATGATTTGGTATCTATATCTTCTTTATGGTCACATTTTAAATTTTAAATTTAAGAGAATTCGAAAAATTTTCGATTTTCTTTCAGGATTCTGATTTGGAGCGCATGTATACACTTTGTGATCGCGTAGAAAACGGTTTGGACGAGTTGCGACTTGCACTGGAGAAGCATATTGCTCGTCAAGGAGAAGCTGCATTAGATAAAATCTCCGATATGGCAGTGAATGTTGGTATTAAAAACACCAAAAAAACTCATTTTGCATTTCATTAGTTCTGAAGCATTTCACTAAAAGCACAGCTGATCTCATAATATCTATAGAATGGTGAATGCCGATAATTCATGTTTCCATGACTTTTCATAATGGTAGCATTAAAAGGTCGTTGCTATGCTATTGCAAAGTAATCTGCATTCATTAAGCAGAGAAATACGGTATATTTAGTAGTATTTGACTAAACTTACAATGATACGTAGGATATATACATATATATATATATATATATATATATGTAATGTCGTGTAACAAGCCTACAAGTTCTATTAAATGACGTGTTGTCATGCAAGGTCGTGCACGAATGGGCTTTTCTGGATATTTGAAAGAAATGGAACTGAATTTTAGCTTTATATTGTAGTTACTGGAAGAGATATTATTATATTATCAGAAACATGAGCATGTTTCTAGAAAGATGTGCTGTGTGAATACCCTTGTGAACCTTTTGTTCATTTGTTATAGGGATCTCCGTATCAGTTGTAAATGTTTTTAGAAATTACTGAAGTTCAGTTTGATATTGTTAGTGGATGGATAGTTTACTAAATATTCAAGATTTCAGGATCCGAAGCAGTATGTTTCAACAATTTTGGAAGTTCACAAACGCTATCATAGTTTGGTAACCTGTTCTTTTAAAAATGAACCTGGTTTCGTTCAAGCATTGGATAAAGCGTGTACATCGTTCATCAATCGTAACAGTGTCACAAAGAAGGCAAATGTATAGTTTTTTATTTAGTTCATCTAGAAAAACTGAAATGGGCTGAAAGTTTAGTCTTATATGTATTTACAGAACACATCGAAAAGTCCGGAACTTCTAGCAAGGTACTGTGATCTCCTGTTGAAGAAAAGCGCTAAAAATCCCGAAGAAAATGAGCTTGAAGAACTTCTCAATCAAATCGTATGAATTTTTTTGAGAATTTAGCCTCACCCTAATAAAAAAGAAACGTGATTTGCAAGTTTTCAGTTATTTTATGGAATGCCTGAACGAAACGTAAATTCGTTTAAAATTTCCACAGTATGTAACTATGGGAAATGCAGGATTTTTGGCAAGTTCGAGACAGTTTGAAGTTTAATTTCAGGGTTCATCCCTCATTTTTCAGATGATTGTATTCAAGTATATCGAGGATAAGGATGTGTTCCAAAAGTTCTACACTAAAATGTTGGCAAAGCGACTTGTGAACGAGCTGAGTGCCAGTGATGAAGCTGAAAGCAACATGATTTCGAAACTGAAACAGATGTGTGGATTCGAATATACCAGTAAACTACAGCGAATGTTCACTGATACCAGTCTTAGCAAAGTAAATAATTCATATAATTGTCTTAAATGAAATAATCGACATTACAAGTGGTCTTCATAATTTGTGAATTCATAATTTTCATTTTTTAACAGTTTTGACATTCATCATATATTGGCGAAAAAGAAATCAATTTTTTTGAAATCCAAAACGATTTTTTCAGGATATAACGGAGAGATATAAGCAATATTTGGCGACTAAAAATATGAACTTGGGATTGGATTTCTCTATCATGGTACTTGGGTCAGGTGTATGGCCTTTCAGTCAGTCACCTGTTTTTGATATCCCCGTGCAACTTACAAAATGTATGGAATCGTTTAATGAGTAAGTGTTAGAATGAAAATCTTAATAGATTTGAAGTTAAAACTTCCAAAATTATTAGAAATTGTGGGATATATTTGAAAAATTTAGGTTTTGTGTATGTTCATGAACATTTTGACTAACATCTTATGAAAGTGATCGATTTTAAAGACATTGTATCTGTGCTGCTCTGTGGAAATAAAACATTTTAAGAGAATCCTTATAATATTTAATGTGATGGAAATTTTTTGGTTTTCTCTAGAATATTTTACTTCTTAGGTTTTATCAAACACAACATACGGGTCGTAAATTAACTTGGTTGCTGGCGCAGTGTCGTGGCGAGCTTTCAGCTTTCGGTTTTCAAAGGAAATACACTTTTACTGTAAGTTATCTTCGTGATACTGATAAATATGGAAAACATGAATGGTCTAATAACAATTTGCATTCAAATAAGTTGGATATGCAATATTGTACTACAGTTTTATTTTTTTTTAATGCATCTGAAGAAATTCCTAACCCCAAATTTTCCGTCTTTGTCCATCTTTCTTTTGCATCATTATGATAATATTATTTCCAGGCTACAACAGCTCAGATGGCTGTTCTAATGTTGTATAATGAAAACACAGAAATGACGTTGCAACATATTTGTGATAGTACTAAACTTAGACGTGAAGTCGTTACACAAATTGCTCAAGCTCTTGTCAAAGTTTGTTTTGAAACTTTCCTTTAAAGAAAGACTGTACAAGCATTTTCGTACTTCTCACTTTCTAGTATAAGTTAAACTCAAAGCTTTTTCAATCCTTTCCATTTTTACCAACATCGCTTGCAGGTAGAGCTATTGTCAGTTGCTGGATCAAAGATTGATATTGACGCAAATACTTCTCTTGCAACAATTCTAAGACTGAATTCTGATTTTTCAAAGTATGAATTATTTTTTAGTGATAATAGGGTTTAATTGTTCCTTATGCAAAGATTCTTGAAAAGATTCAAAAGCAAAATTTTTTAGTAAAAAATTAAAAGTTGATTTATCGAAAACGATGGCACGGGCTGAGATACGTCAGGAAACAGTGGAAGTACATAAATCAGTGGAGGATGATAGGAGATTAGTTGTACAGGTTGGTATTTCATCAGGTTTTTGTTCTGACTTCAGATATTTAGGTATCATTGTTTATTTCTGATTTCATGGGTTCGCGCTGTTTCAGGCAGCTATTGTCCGTATTATGAAGATGAGGAAAAAGATGAAACACACTCAACTAATTACTGAGGCTAGTGGAATCTTTTTAAATCTTTTTCGAGTTCTGATTCACAGGTGTGCTAGTTTGAGTAGCCAAATTGACGAGAAGGCAAACTTCTTTATGCTTTAAGAAAAATTAGACAGCCATTTACCTTGTCGATTTATTTAGATCTCTTCGTATTCGTTCCTCCGAGTTTTGACAGACCATAACCATTGTTATTGTCACAAATAAGGTGTCCAGAATGAATGTCGTGGAAGTTTCAGTGCTTTTTGTTCAACACATAATACATTGCTGACTTCCAAGGAATAACTAATATAAATTATAGGTCCTCGCGCAATTAGCGTCACGTTTCAAGCCCAAAGTACCGATGATTAAGAAATGCATTGATATTCTGATCGAAAAGGAGTATTTGCAAAGGGTGGAAAATGAGAAGGATCTCTATGAATATCTTGCATGAGCTGATTTTTCTAATATGTAGATTAAAAGAATTTGATATCTGATATAAAATGCAGTCTTTGTATTTTCACGCTACTGTTGTATACAACTACGTTTGTGTATTTTTTCGATGTGTTGTGCTGTTTCCTCATTACCTTTTGCTACCTGATATGTAGACCCTGTGTCAGTTCCTGACAGTTTCAGGTTTCTATCTCTCTGTGATTTAAAAAGACTTTCAAATTTTCGGATCATGTAAAAATGCCGAACTAATCAGGGTCTGCTTTATGAGAGCACTTGGAATGCTCGTATTATCTGAAGAAATAAAAGGTGAAGTCAGGAAGGGCAAGTGAAGTGCAGTGAGTGGTGTTTTCGTTTTCTGTAACGTTAGGAGTTTTACTTCAATTTAGCATTAGTCTTTCTTGTCTGACTAATCATAGGTAGAGACATCTGCGTGTTGTAAATTTTAAGACTTTCCTGGATTTTTAGGAGGAATTTGGGCTTTCCTCTGCGAGTATTAACTTTTGTAGGGATATTTTGCAGTCTCTGAATGAGGCAGCAGGACTATAATTCCGATCGCCTTGTTTTGTTTTGTCGACTGATTTTGATCATTGTTTGTTCTGATGATTTTTGGTGAGTTCAAGATTAATTTACCCAAATAAATAAGGGTGGGGCACATGCAGTTACTGAATGTACTTAATTTGTCATAAATGACCATATTCTGGTCTTATTTATCGCGCAATAAAGCTTTTTTGGCCTTACTTTTCAGGCAATCAAGTTCCGATCTAGCGCCACATCTTCATTCTTTCACTTTTGTTTAAAGGGTTTTCACCTTTTTCATTCGGTTTAATTAACTCTTTAATTGTTTGGCAGATATCAAACCTCCCATTAATCAATCCATCGAGATTTTTGTTGCATCAGTGAAAGAAATTAAAAATTTGGTATTAGTGTCTTTGTGTTCGTTCTTCAAATTGTTCTGGATTTTATTCAAGAAAGCATAATCTCGGAGGTATTTATGATCTTTTCGATGAGATTTAATTATTTATAGTAGATTTTCCGGGATGTGTGCTGACACCTTGTGGTGGAATTTGTATCCAACGTACAAAGAATTGTGCGACTTTCGGAGGTTCAGACGTGAAGCAGGGAATTTCTTTTGGATTTTCACTTTAGCTCCAGTGAAATCTTCCAGTGACCTTGGTTTAACACTCGTCCATTGTTTTTCATCTATAAAGAAGATCACATTTTTCGCAGTATAGTGTTTTGTTAATTTATTCGAACTAGGAGTACTTACAGAACTTTAGTGGCTTATTGTCGCCTCCAACGATGTATTTAATCCCGTTTTTTGAACGTTCCTATTCTATTAGTCAGCTCTACAGTTATTAATTAGCGATCGATCTCAGTGACGTTGCTCATCGATGCTTATTTCAGATGCACCGTGCTGCAGTGGTATTAGTGCTGTCTATTTTCGTTTTCATCTGTTCGTCGGCGCAGAATATATTCTTCTCTGAGGCAGATTATCGTCAACTTTATCCTCTGCTATCGATTGTTATTCGTTTACAGAATCACGCGCACGCATTGCCGTATTTTTTCGGTTTACTAGAGAATCTTGACTATCCGAAGGATCAAATTCTAGTTGATATATACATAGGAATACATATTGATGCAACTTTCCTCAAAACTAAACAGTCAGTTTTCATAATTGTCCAACAAAATGAATGGTCGAAATAGTTCAATATTTGTAATTTGTAGAAGTTATATTGCATGCATACACATAGTGAGTGCATGCTGTAATGTTTGCATGAGATACAACGAGAATTTCGAAGGTTATAACCTGCAGTTGAAGATCACTTGTAGGTAAAGTTCACTAGCATTGATGTTTAATAATTTCCGTGAGTGTAATTATTTCTTTGTAAGCAAAATTACAGATGGGCAGATGATGCAAGAAAGCATTATCGTTCCGTTTTTCTTACTGATGATACGAAAAACTGGCAAGAAGAAGCACTGATGAAGGCAAGAAATGGTCATGCAAAGTATTTGCTGTATCTAAAGGTATACACGATATTCTGTTCCATATAAGGACTTTAGATAAACATTTTGAATTAATGCGAACACTGAACGTTCTGAAGTTATGATAAAATCCGTAAGCAGTTTTTAAAGTGTTTAGAACTGAAATGTAGAAACGACCAGAAATTATTTTTTGCTTGTCTTAAATTACTATTTTGAATAAAAAAAAAGACTTCAGGGTGATCATTTGTTGACGGATCACAGGACCCTCCAGACATTGATGCGAAAGAAGAAATTAGCTATTGCCCCTCTTCTTTTTGCCCCGTTTGGTGATCCGCCTACAGTCTTCATATCTGAAGATTACAATACTCGAAGAGAAATATCTACCCTAGAAGTAAGTTTGTACATTTGTTTTTATCATAAATCCCTAATTTTCTTGAATTTGATTGAAGCAGTAAATTGGTATGTTTGCTGTTTTCATGCATTTGATCGCGACTGTTTTCATGCATTTGCGGTCTTCAAGATAAATGTGGAGGATGGATATCAGGATATCGCTAATTGGTGTCACTTTCTTAAATTATTCTGGCAAGTATATTATAGGTCAAGATGGTTCCAGAACCGTTGCTAATAGATTTGGCACACAAAGACTCATCATTCTTAACATTTTCTTCCGAAAATTTGTATGGTTATTCTGAAAATGATTCTAAAGAGCCAAATGTTGTGCTTGAGAATTCGGCGTCTCGGATGGATATACCATTTTTCTTGGATAATGAGCATTTCTATGGATATTTTTTCAATCATTCATTACGTTCCTTGGATTTTCAGCGAAAAGCGGTTTGTTTACTTGCACAAATACCTTAATTTCATGTAATTCTTGCCATAGTTTTGGCTTTGCATAATCAACCGTACAAAGCACTAACCTGAAAAATTAGTCAAGAAATTAATGTTATTGCCTCAAATTGTACTCATCGATAAATCTATTTTACATTTTTCATTGTCAAACTTTATGTTTTTAGTTTGAGCAACGCATAAAGATTGTGCGGGTAGCTAATCTATGAAGATTTAAATAAAGTGGCTTCTGTTATAGCTTCGTTATTTGTTAGCCGATTGGATTGCTGATAGTGGTCTAATGCCAATTGTACACTCTTCGTTTTTGAATGTCACTTATCCAAGACCGTCACTTTTTGGTGTTGATAAAATTTATGTTATTAATCTCGAACGAAGAAAAACAAGGTATTTCCGAAAGTTATAAGTCAAAGAAGATAATTACATTTGGCAGCAACTATATTTTATCAAAAGCACTATCAGGATGTCTTTTCCGTATTTCAATGTTCTGTTATTCTGTATGATTTTATAGTGAACAGACGTTTTTGAAGCAAGATTGTTTTAATAGCTTTTGCTGAATTTTAGGAAATAGTTTATGAAAATCACTTTTTCATTTTCAAAGGCTGTTAGAATTATTTAAGAAAAGTTAAAATGATGGAATTATTGAAATTGATGGGATTTGAATATACGTGGTGGGAAGCGACTGATGGTCACCACTTGGATTCGGAACCCTTATACAGAGAGATTAAGTTTTTGCCTGGATATGAAGATCCGTTCTACAAAAGACCGATGAAAGCTGGAGAAGTAAGTGAAGTTTGTAAAAATTTAACAATAATGTGGAAATTGTTAGAATAATGGGTATTTTAGTTTTTGTTATCTCGATTTCATGTGCTTCAATTCTTCGTTGAAATAAACCATCAAATCCTATTTTAGGACGGATAAATTTCCTATTTAAGGTCGGTTGTTTCTTGAGCCATTATCGCATATGGCAGGAAGTAGATAAAAAGAAATTGGATCGTGTAATTATATTCGAAGATGATTTACGTTTTGTGGTCAATTCAACAGATCTTCTAAAAGAACTCATTGAAGATATTGATAGTTCAAGAATTGAATGGGATCTGGTATATTTGGGCAGAAAACGGCTGGAAGGTGCAAATGAAAATTGGGTGCCTGGTAAGTTACTAGATGCAAATTTTTCAAATTGCATGGCTTTTAATTAAGTTTTGAGGATTTTAAAAATATTGTGTGGTATGGAGCTGATTATTTGTAGTGCAGTATTAATAATATTTGAAATTGCTCTTGAGCTAGACGTATGTTAAGCAGTTTCTATTTCGGAATGACTCTGCAATCCCAATTGTAACTGTGCAGATTGGACGATGAATATTTAAGTAAGCCTTTTATTCAGTAATACTTGTTACTCCTTACCTTGATTTTTACAGGTCATCGACACTTAAGTACTGTTGATTATTCATATTGGACACTTGGTTATATGTTGTCACTGAATGGCGCTCGAAAACTGCTTGGTGGTAATCCTTTAAGAAAACTTGTACCGGTGGATGAATATATCCCGATTATGTTCAATAAGCATCCAAATACAACATGGACAAATGCATTTCCACATCGTGATTTAATTGCTTATACGATTTATCCGACCGTTGTTGTTCCAGAAAGGTACACCTATCAGCACGGTTACTTCAGCGATACAGAAGATTCAGATATTGTCGGTATGGAAAGTGCAACTTGGGCACTCAAAAAAATGAATAAAGATGAATTATGAAATAGTATAAATTGAGTTAATGAAAGTAGTACTTCCAAATGACCAAACACTGACCTCAGATTTCTGTTCGCGTTGTTTTTGAATAGATAAAGACATTTTATTCTAATCATGATGACATAAATAATGTCATTACTTGATCGTACAGCTGAATTTTGTTTTCAGATCATTGTGTTGTTTTTTTCTTGATTAAGTTAGCTATTCTTCATTTAAAACTAGCTGGAGTTGCGGACCATTGTAATTAAACAAAGTGAGCTTCTATGTTTATTTAGCTGTTCATAAGCAAATATGCCTCCCCATCGTATGTAATATGAAAATTCGAGGCATTGAGCTGTTTTATATTATTGCAAGCTTTAATTTTTCTATCCCAGTGTTTTTCAAGCTTTATTCTATAATTTAATATCATTTCCTTATTATGGTGCTACGTTATCTAATGATAGAACTACTGCCTTGTTTCTGAATGCTGCGTATTGATATACTTTCTGTATTTGCTGTCTTATGCAACTGTTTTAAGCGGCATCTCATTGCAAAGATTATCAATAAAACTTTGATAAATCTTGTAATTCATATCCTGCGGCTTAAAATTTGCTGAGTAATAAGATCCTTTGTTATAACAGATTGTACGTTGCTTTATATTAGTTTCTTGTGGTTCTGAGAGATAGGGATCTGGGAGATAGGGATCAGAATTATGTAAGATGCATATCATGCATACTGGTTACCGATTTTTAGAGAACTAACTTTGTAATTGGCAGTAGCAAAGGAGAAATATTTGTTAGCAATAACTTTTATGCTGATCTTGTCAAGCATTATGCCCACTGCACTGGAGTTCCCGTGGAATTCTAATTTGTGGTTCTGGGAAGGTTTGTTTGCACTTTGCCAAGTTGCTTCTAGAGTGCTCCTTCTGAAGCCTTCTAGTTTATTGTTCTCTTCATCTGACATACATTTCTAGGACTACGCAGAATGGGTTGCATTTGCGGAAAGCCAGATCTTGAAATTGGAATGCAACAATATCGGATACTAAAACCTTTCGCTAAAGGGTAAATTCTTAATCCGAGTATTTTGAAGTGGGAACAAAAGACCATTTAGAAGGCGTTTTACGTTAACAAATATGCGGCATCATTTATAACCCCTATAACGGTTAAATGGTATGAAGCCCTTCGAAAGAAAGTGGAACTGGAGATTTGTTCGGTTTATTTGAGCTAAAGGTCATAGCGAAGTTAATGATTATAAAGATTATTTGGAAGTTACTTTTCAGGGGCTTCAGTCAATTATTTCTGGTAGAAGAATATAAAACTGGTCATAAATGGGCCTTAAAACGAATTGATTGTTATTCAAAAAGGGATGTTGAACGCGTTCGGAATGAAATTGATGTACAACGACGGTTCGGAATGCATCCGAATATTTTGTCACTGGAATGTTTTACGGATAGCAGGATTCCGCATGGCCTTCGATTTTCACTTATCTTTACCTTTTGCAAGGTGTATGGTAGTTTTTTGTTCCTCAAAAAATTTTGGTGTTTGAAAAGAAAGATGGCTAATTATTGTTTTCATGTTGATTCGCATCATCACATCGCATTTCTTCTTACTACTGAACTTTCAACTTGCTTCTTACTTACCGAGCTTTTGACTAATATTTCAGTTGTATTAAGCTAGAAGTTATGACTTCATTTGAGAGATGTATATAAAAGTTTTCCTTCTTTTCGTTGATTTTTTTTATTTCATCTTGAATCTACTCTATTACTGAACTTCTGTGTCAATTTTTAGAGTTATGATTTGTTTACGTATCACTTCAGCGTGGTAGTCTTCAACATGAACTTACAATCCGTCGTTCATGCTGTGATTACATTTGCGAAGAACGGGTGATACGTCTCTTTCTACAGATTGCTTCTGCTGTTAAATTAATGCATTCATCCTCGCCTCCCATTGCTCATAGGTCAACATTTGGGCACATTTTGATATTTTAGTTGGATAACCCTGCGGTTTTAATTTCATTCCAGTAGAGGGAAGAAGTGTCTTTTTTTCAGAGACATAAAACCAGCCAATGTTTTGCTGTCAGACGATGATTGTCCGATACTAATGGATTTTGGTAGTTGTTTCTCGTGTCCAATAATAATTAATGATGGAAAAGATTCAAGAATGCAGTTGGCTAGTTTTCCTTATATTTCTGTACCGCTAACCATTTTAAGGCTAACCATTTTTTTTAAAATGGCTAACCATTTTAAGGTTTTTTTTTTTGAAGTAGCTTCGAACTTCGTTCGTATTTTGAAAGCACTTCAAAAAATATCCAGAAATAACTGTCAAAAAATATCCAGGAATAACTGTTTACTTGATCATTAGGTGCTGAAGCATGTCGTTCTACAAAATTACTTTTTTAAAGATTGTTTGTAATGTTTTACTGATTTAGGATGAAGCTGGTGAATTATGTTCAATGCCATATCGAGCTCCAGAACTTTTTGTTTGTGAGGTCGGTTCAACAATCGATCAATCTGTAGATATTTGGGTTTGTGTTATTCTTAGCAATTTTCATTGCAGTTAAACTTAAGCTTCTTAAATATAATTTCTAAATGCTATCAGTAGACTAAAAAGCAAGAAGGAAATCAAATTTCAGTCACTTGGTTGTCTTTTATTGCTTTATGCTTCTTCCGCTCACCATTTGATGATATCTATGAACGTGGTGACAGCATTGCACTCGCTGTTCAGTCAGGGAAATTACTTATATTGAAAGTCATCCGTAAGTCCAGTTTGCACTGTCTAGAA